TGTGAAGTTTTGACTTATCACGCCCGACGGACCATAAGCATACCTTTTTTTTTTTTTTTTTTTTTTTTTGGTTTTTCGAGACAGGGTTTCTCTGTATTGTTTTGGAGGCTATCGGTCCAGCCCAGCCTCGAACTCACAGAGATCCGCCTGCCTCTGCCTCCCGAGTGCTGGGATTAAAGGCGTGCGCCACCACCGCCCGGCCCATAAGCATTCTTAAGAATGTTGCCTCCTTCTCCGGTCACAGCCATGTTGCAGTAAATACTGCTTTCTTAAGGGACTGGTCCACCAGGGACGCACATAGAAATGTGTCTCATCCAATACATGTGACGTACTTCCTGTTGTCGCTCGCCTATGAGTCACAGAAGCCCGAAGCAGCGGCGCTCTGGGGGGTGGGGTGATGGGCGTTTCTTGCCTCCGTTGGGGGGAGGCTGGAGCGGTATGGAGGTCATGGATCACTCAGGGCCAGCTCTAGGGCCGTCAGACAGATCACACTTGTCTCCCATTTCATGCACCAGGCCGGCTCCTCCAGACTCGCCCTGTGGCATCCCCTCTCCCTGATTCACAGGCTGACGGGGGTTCTTCCGAACACCCTTTTCAAATAGCATGTTATGAGGTAGAAAAAAATTCTTCGGACCCACAACCTCCCCTAGTTCCAGGAACCGGTCTGAGACAGGCCAACAATTTCATGCCCTGAAGAGAACTCTCATGCCAATAGCAAAGTTAGCGAACATCTGGTGTGTGCCAGCCAGTTCATACTGCACAGACCTCCTTCTCTGGAGAGCATGACTGCAGCACACACTAGGCTCGCATCTGACAGACGCTCTCAGAGCCTGAGAACTGAAAATCAAGAGCGTAGACACTAAATAAAACTCGGGCAGAAACAGAGAAGGCCCTTTAGGAGAACTGACCAGCCAGCTCTCCATTCAATCTGCACATAGACTTTCTCAGACCTAATGAAGGTTTTCAGTTCCTCCGCCAAGAATGTGTGGCCTACAGTGCCTTAAAATAGGCACCTGGGTACCAACCTCAGCTTGGACTAAAGGCAGAAAAGACATTGCTGGTATTTAGCCTGCAGTGCTTACATTTGATGGACTGTTTTAAAAGTTTGTTTTTTTTTCAATGTGTGTGCAGTGTGTGTGTGTGTGTGTGTATGCATGTGTCTGTGTGTCCATGTCTGTGTCTGTGTCTGTGTCTGTATGTGCCCATGTGAGTAAAACTTCCTAGAGAGAATGATGACAGAGGCATCAGCGGGAGGTACAGGGAGGCTATCATCCTCCTGACATGGGTGCTGAGAACCCAGCTAGGCTCCTCTGGAAGAGTTGGGAGCGCTCTTAACTGCTAAGTCACCTCTGTGGGCCTGATGCTGTAATTAATCACGTTTAAATGCACAGACTCAAAACTAGGGTGTGTTCACATCAGATCCATAGTGTATAACACCTGTAAGCCTGGTATTTTAAGAGTATGACTTGTGCCCATATTTAGTGTCCAGGCACCTCTGAAACCTCCAGTCCATCTGGGTATAAAACCTGTCACGAAGAATAGTGGAGAAAGAGTTAGAGACCTGGAGTGGGTATACAGATGGTACAGAAGGAAATCTCTGGGGTAACTCTGTAGAAAAAAAAAACACAAAATGTACCTGCTCGTCTTTAAATTGTATCCCTTTAGCATCAGTTAAAAACACAATCTGACTAAAGGAAAGAAGGTCAAAAACTGAAGAGAAGTTCCTGAAACCCTCTTCCCCACCCCCGCAGCACCCTCAAAACCACAGATCTCTCCTCTCCCTCCCTCCGTCACACACTCCCCTCTTCCCATTTCCTGCAGTGCCCCCAACACACACACACACACACACACACACACACAGAGAGAGAGAGAGAGAGAGAGAGAGAGAGAGAGAGAGAGAGAGAGAGAGAGAGAGAGAGAGAGAGAGAGAGAGAGAGAGAGAGAGAGAGAGAGAGAGAGAGAGAGAGAGAGAGAACAAGGGCACAGTTTTGAACAGAGTGGCATTGGCTGGCTGCTGTTCATCACCTTAATGTTTTATTTCCAAGGGACACTTCTCCCTAGAGCAGTGGCTCTCAACCTTCCAGATACAGTTTAGCAAAGTCCCCCCACCATAAAATTATTTTGTTGCTACTTCATAACTGTAACTTTGTTACTTTTATGAGTTGTAATGCAAATACCCGATATACAATCTGATGTACAACCCCTGTGGGGAGTTGCAACCCTCAGGTTGACCACTGTCCTAAGGTGTACTTCATTCAGACAATCCCAATGAGTTAGAGTTCTCAGAAAAGAAAATGAACGATAAGTGTCGCCTACACATGGGACTTCTGAGGAGCAGAGCTGATGCTTTCCTGACCCCTACGGTCCAATTCCGGGACCTCTTGAAGTCCACAGCTGCTACGGAGTGTACGTCATCTTTCTTATCCAACACACGCATTTCACGGAGAGACAAAGGTACAGCCCTGAACAGCCGGTTTTCTGGTCTGGATTCACAGTAGCAGTCACACTTCAGCACCACCAGAACCCGCTTTCGACTTTGGCATAGGTTGGGGCAGAATGGGAAAGTCCTCCTGGGTGAATCCAGGCAACTTTTAGTTGCAACTTTGAAAACCATCTCCAGTCCAGCTGCTCAGTTTTCTCTTTGTCGCACACAAGTTCGAAGCATCGCTGTAAATTTCTGTAATGCAAATCCACCCATCCTCGTTTTATGGGGATTTTTTTCTGTGGGGTGCCTGTCGTTCCAGATGTTTGTAAATTTCATTCTGTCTGGCTCTTTCGTCTAAGTCAACAAAGCAGGGCTGTGCAGCTTTGAAGCATACATCATTATGTGTTTGTCGAAAGCACTAGATGGCCCTATATCTTTCAGGATCTCTTGCTACAGTAAGAGAAAATGGGGGCGGGGGAAATAGGACATGATTTGATGTCTTGGAAAGCAGTCCTGTTGTACAGATAGCGTGGAAGCTCAGGGTGAAATAGAAGAAATTCTTATTTAATAACTAACTGTCTAAATCTTTAAAAAGTAATAATCTATTCAGAGAATCTAAATGTCACCTAACTATAATGGTGTCATATAAAGACAATATGACACACGCATTCACAAACTAGGTCCTGTGATAGTATCTACATATAAAAATTACTTGTCCTTATTCACATCTACCAATCTATTAAACAAGGGATTCTATTTTCCAAATTAGCTTCAAATTCCAAGGAATCTTTTTAAAACACAAATGGGGTATGGGCGGGAGAGAGACTTAGTGGTTAGCTGCGGTTACCGCTTTTCCAGAGGACCCAGGTGTGGTTCCCAGCACCTGAGTTGGGCAGTTGAGAACAACCAACACCCTCTTCTCAGCATCTGCCCACACGTAGCACCCCTACTCGCAGACATGCTTGCGTCCGTGTAAGCAGAAATGAGTAAATAAGCCTTAAATGAATACGCTTGGTATCTGAAGCTTTGAACTTTCGTTTCACATAAACATTTTCTGTAGGTCAGCCCTTTTCGTCAGTTCGATACACATCTGTATGCCTCAGTAAAGTAAAGGATGGATATGTTATCACTTAACAGACTAGAAACATTACATCTGTATGCCTCAGTAAAGGATGGACATGGTATTGCTTAAACACACTAAAAGTACTATGTATGAACTATTGGCGTGCTCAAAGGAAAAAAAATACCCATATGCGTGAACTCCGATGTAGCAGGATGATAAATTACATTTATTTATAGAAATGACGCTTTTCCTGGGGATTGAAGCCTGATTACACCAATTCTAGCTGATATTCACCACGATGGGTTTCATCAGTTATTTCTTAGGGATTTTCGGCTATTTTTAACAAATAAACTTCCGTCCATTAATTATGCAAAGTTACGTCAAAACACCGCACGAAGAGCAAACGCTTTAGATAAGATTTTGCATTTAAGCTTGGTATTTAGTGGTATAGACCACATAGACAAACCCCCTCACCTTTACAAATGCATGGGATGCAAAAGGGACCTGATTGGGCTGGGGATTTACTTGGCGGCAGAGTATTTGCCTAGCATGCGCAAGGCCTGGGACCCAACATCCAGTAATGCAAAAGCAAGGACGGGGACCTTGAGGGTTGTCTCCGAGGACCACAGCTCGGATCTCATAGTAAGCTAGTAGATCCTTGCTTGAGCTTCCTCTGTACTTGTGGGTTTGTTAAGAATATTTTAACCGCCGGGCGTTGGTGGCGCACGCCTTTAATCCCAGCACTCGGGAGGCAGAGGCAGGCGGTTCGAGGCCAGCCTGGTCTACAAAGTGAGTTCCAGGACAGCTTCCAAAGCCACAGAGAAACCCTGTCTCGAAAAACCAAAAAAAAAAAAAAAAAAAAAAAAAAAAAAAGAATATTTTAACCGCCTAATCAGGTTGTTACCCTTTTCCTGTCTGCTGTGACGTTTAAGCATATCCTGCCTTTGAAACTGGTTGCTGTTATGTCTCGGTAACAGGATTATGTTTGATGAGACCTATATCTTTATCTTTGGATTATGAACTAACCGTTAAAAACCATATGATTAAATCTTAGATATTTATATATATATATTTATAGTCGAGATCATAAACAGCTTCCGAAGGAGTAGATTCTCCGACCAGACTTTCTGGTTGCTAGAGCAGGCACCGGTCGGATAGTCGTATGAACAGACAGCAATGGGAAAATGAAGGGAAAGGATGTGAGAGGCTGAGGTCTGAGCAGACTGCCTGCCCACATACATGCTGTCCTGGTGTCACAGAAAGAGCTGTGTGTCCGAGTCATCATCCCTTACCACAGCCACACAGAAAGAAATGGCCAAGTGTGGAAACCCTCAGCAAGAAGGGGCGGAAATTTTGCAAAGTTAATGGTTGTATCAGAATTATGAGAAATTGGAGATCATTGTATTGTCAAGTATGGTTTTGTTTGTTTTTTATTTTTTGCAGAGAGTAAAACTTGTACTCATTATCTTCCCTGTAGAGAGTCTAAACTGCACTTGTCTTTTCCTTTAACAGATAATTCTGAAATAATCAACAGAAATGGAATGGAATGCCAAGAATCTGCATTGAGAATAACTAAACATTGTTACTGTACATACTATCCTGTTTCCTCCTCGATAGAATTGCCACAAACTGCATGCTAAACTTAGTTCTTCTGGAGAGACCACAACCCTAAGGCTAGTTCCACTATGTCATATATGAGTATTAAATATGGTATGCTTAGTATATTCCAGCCTAAGATAGTTAACTACCTGAGACCAGCTGCGATGTTCAAAGGCATAAAGGATGAGGTTTTCTTTTCCAGGGTTCTAAGCATAGTTTCTGTCCTAGGAATATTGTCTTATCTCCGTAACTATAGCCGATGCAGAAAGTACAGCCAATATACTCATTTCGACTCAGAAAAAGTTTCAAATTTAGCAATAACCAGTTAGCATTAGTTTAAGTACTTATTCCAAGGGCAGGTTCGATTCTAGCTCCAATCACCGTCATTTCATTTCCTGACTGGATCAAAGGGTATGATTCACTTCTTGACGAGACGAACATTGCAGCGAGGACCAGAAGTGAAGTAAAAAAAAAAAACAGACACCTGCCTCGCAGGTCTAAAATTGGAATGGCAGTTCAAGCACAATTTCTGGGGACACATCAGAGTGTGGGATTCGGTTTGCCTGGAGATGCCGCACTGAATCATGGGATTCTAGGATTAACATTGCATAGATTGAAAAAAAAAAAAACTTTGCACGGTATGAGCTTCATACCCACCCAACAAAGTCTTGAAGGTATTATTTTACAAGTATATTTTTAAAGTTGTTTTATAAGAGAGACTTTGTAGAAGTGCCTAGATTTTTGCCAGACTTCATCCAGCTTGACAAGAATGAAAGGCTCATGCCAATAGATGAATCTAAGGGATTGGTCTTTCAAACCCGCCCTCCGGTCGCCTGTCCCCCAATAGCTCTTCTATACTAAAACCTAGTCCAACAGGGAAGCTGTAGGTGGGGAGGTCTGTATAATATTCCAGTTTAAGTATGTCTGAGTTTAGTCACCACAGATGCAAACTGTGACTTTAATCTAAATTACGATGTAAACAAAACCCAAGTAGATAGTTTTCACTTTTTAAAATATCCATCACTGTTTTGCATTTCAAAAGTTGGATTAAGGGGTTGTAACTAACTACAGCATGGAAAAAATAGTTCTTTTAATTCTTTCACCTTAAAGCATATTTTATGTCTCAAAAGTATAAAAAAACTTTAATACAAGTACATACATATTATATATACACATACATATATATACTATATATGGATGAAACATATTTTAATGTTGTTTACTTTTTTAAATACTTGGTTGATCTTCAAAGTAATAGCAAAACAATTAAATTTTGTTCAGAAAGTTTGTTTTAAAGTTTATTTTAAGCACTATCGTACCAAATATTTCATATTTCACATTTTATATGTTGCACATAGCCTACACAGTACCTTCATAGTTTTTAAATTATTGTTTAAGAAATGAAACAGCTGTTATAAATGGATATTATGTGTAATTGTTTAAAACATCCATTTTTCTTTGTGGACATTTTAGTGGTTGAAGTATTTTGACTTTTGAGATTGAATGTAAAATATTTTAAATTTTGGTATCATCGCCTGTTCTGAAAACTAGAGGCATCAGCCATATCAATTTTTTTGACTGAGAAAAAAAATCTGCATTTAATTCATGTTGGTCAAAGTCTAATTACTATCTATCTTACATCATAGATCTGATAACTGTATCAAAAGAAAAATCACATTCTGAGTATAATCTTGCGTAGTGCTTGTATCGTGTTTGTTTTAATTTGTGGAGAGGTATTATATCTAACTTGTATCACTTTGGTAGTTTTCATCTTTGTGTATTATTGCTATTTGTAATTTTCTCAGTTATAACGATGTAGTTACGCTACAACTTGCCTAAAAACACTCATACTTTTTTTTTCTTTGCTTATTCATTTAAACTCATTGAGAAGATAGTAGACATTACTGAAAGGTAAATTATGGGAATTACTGAAATATTTTTGTAGACTAATTGTTGTAACTGTCTTTTTTTTTCTTTCATTTCATGACTTTTATTTTAAAAATTATTAGCACATAGCTATTTTAAGCCCTTTAATAATGGAGCATCGAAAACATCACCTGTATCCCCCAGCAAATATAGATGACTGTATTTTTTACTATGATATCCATTTTCCAGAATTGTGATTATAATATGCAGAGAGTCAAATATGCCATTTACAATAAGGAGGAGGCAAGGCAAATGCATAGATGTACAAATATATGTACAACAGATTTTGCTTTTTATTTATTTATAATGTAATTTTATAGAATAATTCTGGGATTTGAGAGGATCTAAAACTATTTTTCTGTATAAATATTATTTGCCAAAAGTTTGTTTATATTCAGAAGTCTGACTATGATGAATAAATCTTAAATGCTTTGTTTAATTACAAAAAAAACAAAAAAAATCACCAATATCCAAGACAGGAAGATGTCAGTCCGACAGCTACAGCAGTTAGGAAACTAACTCCACTTGTACGGAACTCCATTTCACTCTTGGTTTCCAGGGTGTAACAGCGCTTCACAGACACATTCTTTCAGCCGCACACCACCGGTCACATTTCTACTAAATCTTTCCGTAACACTTCCTAAAGAATCCCCTCATTCGTTATCTTACAGTGTGAACGGGAGTCTAATTTGTATCAATTCTATGTTTTGGTTGTAATATTCAGTTCACTCACCCAAATGTACAACCAGTGAAATAAAAGAAGCATTTAAAAGGACTGTGTGAGCCTCCTTGTTTAGACGGGTCATCAGTTGGACAGAAAAAAAAAAAGAAATGTTTTTTTTCTGGTGTAGTTACCACTCGATGATATTAAGTAACAAACTCTTTGAATGGGAGAGGGGCAAAGCTTTGTATTTATTTATTCATGGCCTTGGCTCTGGCTCTTTCTCTTTTACACTTTCCTCTGAGGGAGCGCATACAGCTGTGCGTGTGGGGGGTCGAGGAACAATTTGGGAGAGTTGATTCTCTCCTACAGGATGGGTCCTGGGGACTCAGCTCAGGTCATCAGCCTTGGCAGCAAGCTGAGCCGTCTTTCCAGACCCAGGCTTTGGCTTTTCGGGGCAAGAAAAATAACTTAAAAGTGATCACTTGGAAAATACATGCAGCACCGTTTAAAATTAACCACGGAGCACCCCGCCATCCGGTCCTTTAGAAAAGAACTTCAGTAAAGCAACTGGGGCCCAAGGGTAGGAACATGAGTTTCATTAAAAGGAAAGAAAGTAACCGTTAGCCTGCCGTGCGGGCTTCTGGGAGAAGCTTAAGTGGGCAGCGTGATGTCCTAGCAAGAGTGTATACCCTTAAGACTGCCTCTCCCGGGGCTGGAGAGAAGGCTCAGTGTTTAAAAGCACTGGCTGCTCTTCCAGAGGACCAGGGTTCAATTCCTAGCAACCACATGGAGGGTCATGACTGTCTATGTAAGTTCAGTTTCAGGGGATCTGACGCCCTCTTCTGCCCACCACAGGCACTGTGTGTATATGGCATGCAGACATGCATGTAGGCAGATCACCCATACGTAAATAAATAATAAAAATAAAGCTTTAAAGAAAACCCTTTATCTCAAATCTGAGAGGGTGTTGAAAGCAGTCTACCTTATCTCTTTAGCACAAAATTATTTCGATATAAGATGTCAGGTGTCTTATGTAGTTCTCTGTCAAAAGAAAAATGTTATTTCCATTTTGAACTGTCTAATATAAAAATGACATTTCAGACCCAGAAATTCATTGTTTGTCTTTAGTCAAAGTCTGGGGGTTTCCGTTTGTTTGTTGGTTGGGTTTTTTGTTTGCTTGCTTGTTTGTTTGTTTGTTTCTGAAGCATTACAGGATCAGGAGCAGCCAGGCAAACTGAAATAATAGTCCACATTCTGATGCTTCTAGAGCGTCAGAGCTATTTAACATACTGACTCCCTAAAGCATCATCCCCACCTAAAGTATTCAAGAGTATGAGACATTGAGCAACCAAGCCATTGCGCCAGGTGCTTCCCTCTCCATAAAAAAAAAAACTGAGTCATTGTGAATAAATATGGTTCCCAAAGAATGGATTGATAATGACTTCCCTCTGCTCCTTGGTGGAGAAAGGGGGTGGGGGCGAGTGGCAGGGCAGACCTAGGCTGCAAACCCCATGTTTAATAGTCTGCTAGATTTCAGTCAAGTCCGCGCTGTCAGTGAGGAGAATTGCTAATGCTAACAACTGGCCCGTGGTCCCAGCTGTGACAGAAACCCCTAACTCGCAGCACGGCAGGCAGGCACACACCATTGTGCTCAGTGTGATGCTAGTGTCCGCCCCCACCCCCAAGTACGGAGATCCGTGGCTCCACCGGGCACATCCCACATGTTTGGCAGCCAGCACACAGCTCCGGTCTCCTCTCCCGGTGGTTCAGTCCCTTTAAAAGCCTGCCACCTGGAGGTGTCTTCCCAGCACATTGCAGGGAAGCGTCCACGTGTGCCGCGTGGCTTCGGTTTAATAAGGTTGTTTCCGGTACCTCCCTTCCCCCCCCCCCCCGCACTTTGAACTGTCTTCGTTCAGTGAGGAAGAAGCAGCGGCTGGTGTGGTTCACATAGGTTTTGCCCAACCTCAAGCCTTACGAAGGATTCCCTTATACTCGTGGCGTAGATGAGACATAAAAGCTCGCGAAAGTTAGGCGACCCTTCTGTGGATTGGAACTTCAAGCCCTGCCTCATCCTACCTCCTCAGCCCTGTTGCAACGCACATTCTCCTGGCTAAACTTTCATTACAGTCCTGAGGACAGTATTGACACACGTTTGAAGTGAAGTCCTAGCTTAAAACTTTGACTTCAGCTAAGGAGGTTTTCTTCCCTATCGAAAGAATACCATGCAAAAAAAAAAAAAAAAAAAACCTTTCTAGTTATATACTGCAAAATACTATGAGAGATCCAGGACAGATCTTAATTCTTTATTAGGACCAGGCGTGCCCTCCCTCCAGGGTCTCCCGGTTTTATTTTTTGTCAAGTTCCATATGGTTCGCCTAAAATTAAACAGAATGAGAGCCACTGAAATTCGCCCAATGATGATGTTTCATGAAGTCAGAGAGCGGCCAGACTCATGGATGTAGTCCCAGAGACGATGTGACTTGAATGTCTGGGGAAAATAGCCGGAGAGAATAAATTTCTGCATAAAGGTCACAAAAGGCCACACGTGGAAGGCATTCCGCTAAGATCCAGTTGTGTCCAGAGAGGCCGAGAAACGGGATACAGCTCTTGTTTGCCTTGTCTCCTGGCGGGTCGTCCCAGGCCTTTGGTTTACATAAGCAGAAAAGATTCATATTGGTTCTCATATGCACACTGAAACAATAGAAATGAGGTCAGTCCTTTTCTTTTGCTAGGATAACTTCCTTTTCAAAGGATAGCTCTCAAGCACATAAGCCAAGAGCTATGGTTACTAGGGTCCCTTTCCCTGGCCTCTACTGAGTCCTCAAGCTGAGGGCTAAAAACCTGTGCATTGAAATATGAAACACACAGACTTAACAGATGGAGAAAATGCATCCAAAATAGCTTGACAGGCTAAAGAACCCTAACCCAGAGCTCTAGACGTGTCTGGATAAATTGATTGGGTTTATGCAGATGTACCAAACAAAGCCCAGATTATATGCATATCCCATACCCAGGACTCTTCACATATTTCTGTGGGGGTATGGTTCAAATGCTAATCATCTTTAATAACAAACTGTTTTCTAGATCTACAGAAAGGAAAGATCAGCGTCTGTATGTCACAATGGTTTAGTGGCTAAGAGCTGGGTTTCTGCCCAAGTTTAACTCTCAGGTCTACGTTTGAGCAAACTAAACATCAGTTTTCTTCATCCATGATCTGAGACTCACAACTGAGTCTAATTCACTGAGACATAATGAGATTTAAGTAAGAGGATATGTACCAGCCCTGTGGAGCAGGCCTTGACACAGAACAATTGCAGGATGGCCGTCAGCTACTCTTTCTCAAACAGTATTCAAATGAGTGCATGGGTCCCACCACAACTAATTATCTCCGTGTTCCATCCAATCGTTTGTTGGCAATGAGGAGGCACCTCTTTTGTTTCCTCTGTGACAATTAACGCGAAAAGCCTATGGGTAAGTTATAGGAAATGTATAATGAGCCTCATCCTTTTTGTGGAAACCTCCAATTACGTCAACTCAACAAGTATTCAATAAACCAAGACTAAGGACTTCTAGAAGTCCAGGGGACGGCAACATAAGCAAAATCCAGTCCCTTGCCCACCAGAGGCTCTCTGTTAGCTCCTCATAGAGCTCTGGGTAGAATCCTTCTGGACAGTCCAATTTCTGTGGACAGAAGTCTCTGTCCTGCCTGGTCCCGCAGCCATGTAGTCCCAAATAAGCACACAGAGGCTTACATTAATTATAAACTGTTTGGTCTACAGCTCAGCCTTCTTATTGGCTAGCTCTCTCTTAATTATTAACCCATGTCTATTAGTCTATGTATCTCCATGTGGTCTTGGCTTGCTGGAGAATGCCCAGTGACCTACTTCCCCGGTAGCTACGTGGCATCTTGCTGGTAACTCACTCTCTTCCCAGCAGCCTCCTAGTCTGGAAGCCCTGCCTATACTTCCTGCCTGTCCGTTGGCCGAAGCAGTTTTATTCATCAACCAATAAGAGAAACATAGTCACGGCATACAGAAGGACGCCCCCTGCCCCCCATCAAGTTTCTAGGGGAGGCTGCCAGTCCTTGGCGCCCTTGATTTACAGCTACGCCGAGCCAGCCTCTGCCTCTCTGGCCTCACAGATCTCCAGATTACCGTATAAGGACACCAGTCGTGTTGAAGGAAGAACCAACGTGACAACTTCGTATTAACTTGGTGAACTAACTTAGTGGCTTCGGCAAGACTATCCTCAAATACAGACATATTCGCAGGAGTTCAGGATTCCAGATGCGTTTTGGGAGAACCCTTGTCAAGCAAATGGAGAAAGTCAGTTTACATGTGGGATGCGCTCCCAAGGCTATTGTGTTTGAAGGCTTAGTTCTCCAGCTCGGTCGGAGTGTGCCTGGGGGTGAGGACTAGATGGAGGAAGCCAGTCACAGGCCCTGATGTTTTTAGCCAAGCCTCACTCCGGGTGCAGCTCGCTTCCTGACCACCCGCAGGTGCCCCACCCCTGGACCCGCAGGTGACCAGCTGCCCCACCCCTGGACCCGCCCCCACGCCTTCTCCCACCGTGTCCTCTTAAACTGTCAGCAGAAATAACCTGCCAGTCATCGGGCACCTGATCCCAGCATTCAGGAAAGTAAACAGGACAATCACGTCAGGAGAAAAACAAGGCCTTCTAGAATATAAGAGAAAGGATGGGGAGGGTCTTGTCCCCTCTCGTTGTCCCCCCCCCCGTCTTGACAGCCCAGTGCACGGAGAAGTTGGTTTCCAATTACAGATGTGTGCTTCCTAATAAGGTAAGGTGTCTGCAGGCCTGTGTTCCTTGTCAGGCTCTGGCCAGAGCTCTTCCAGCTTCGGATTGGCCACCACCAATCCTCGCCACCCCCAGCGTGCAGAGTCACCACTCCAGTCCCTGATGCTGTCGCTTCCTCACCAGCTTCCCCTCACCACAGCCGCGTCTGTGCAGGCCTAGCCTGATTAATGACCACACATTAACCTGACAGCGAAACGAAGAGGCTTTATTTCACAGCAAAGACATTCTCCTAGGGGGCTAAACACAGCAAAGACATTCTCCTAGGGGGCTAAAAACTGCACGCATGGAATTTTGGG